GTAGTAACAAGAGCGATAGGGACAGTATCCGATATAAAATATCGCGGCTGTCTAGTTTCGAGCAATCTGTTATATATAATAGAGTAGGATTCTACGTATAGCGGCACCGAAAGGAAGTTAATATAAGCAATGCTAACCGCTAGGCGCGTAAGGAACTTAGATAAGATGCTAGCGCGGATAAAGAGTACTTCTTAGACGACGATACAATGTTTACAAGACGTGCACTAAAGCAGTTTAAGGCTATAACCGCTCGGGAGATAGAGGCGTACCGCGATCGCTTTATAGCTAAAGCCCTCTAGTAAGCCGAATCTAGTGTCTCTATTAGTAAAGGTATACCTCCGATATAGGCCGATATAGACAGAGCGACGGCCAAAGCGAATAAACGCTAGAAAAGGCTTAACTAAGCGGCCGCTACAAAGGCCCGTAAGTCTACTAGCAAGCAATTCGACAAAGTCCGTCGGTAGAGCGAACAAGCGGCGACTACGTTAGCACGGGAGATAGTAGAGTCTAGTATAGCACGATCGGGTGTTAGCTAGATAGCTACTACCTAGTAGAGGTCGGTCGCTATAATAGACAAGTTCTATACTACTACTAGGAAGAAGCTAACTAGATACTTAACGGTCCGCTAGTAGAATACTACGAAGAAGCGAAAGGCAGATATATCTAGTAGAAGTCTAGCTAAACGGATAAAGACATCTGCTACGACTCGCGTAGCAATAGTATAGCAATAACAAAAGAATACTACTATCTAAGCAGCCCCTCGAAGTCGGAGATGTTATTATATAGTCGAGGATGCTAGCAAGGCAATTACGGACAACGAGCGGAGACTCGGCTTTACTATAGAGGATAAGTTTACTAGGCTAACGTAGGTAGAGAAGAAAGCAGGCGTTACGTAGCAATAGAAGGCCGAAGCTAATAAACTACTAATTAAGAAGGAACTAGCTAAGAGGCTATAAGAAGATGCTAATACAGATACAAAGATAGCCAAGTCGGAGGCTAGAATATAAGCCCGCAAAGAAGCCCGCCTCGCTAAAGAACGAATATCCGTAGGAGAACGAACCTCTATAGAAGAACGCCGGGCTTAAGAAGAGGAAGAGGAAGAAGAGCGAATCTATAATTAAACGATAGCAGACTAGGTAGCGAACTTAGTATAGCGGCGACTCGACTTACCGAGCGTAAGTATTAGATTATAGCTAGAGTACTTTATTATAGCCTATATATCCGGGAAGGCAAAGTCGGTATAAGGACAGAAATACGGTACGCGTATCGTTAAGAAGACTACGATAGAAGAGTTCTCGTATCTATATAACGATATAATACGTAAAGACGTCGCTCTACTAGTCTATATAGAGAGGATCCGGAGAGGGTTAATCTCGATCTAAGTTAACCTAAATAGTAGTATAGTATTAAGCTAGCTTGCGGTTCTCGGTTGTTTTCCTAACGTAGGCCGTACGGTTATATAGGTACGGAATATCTAATACAAGGCAGAATCTAGTTACTAATCTATCGAGCCGACCGAGGACGAGGAAGCATTATTGTTTCAAAGAGCATTTACCGACATAATAGTAGGGCCTCTTCGCGCGAACTCCGACGATATATATAAATTATATAAGCTAGACGAATAGGACATGTACTCGAAGGTAGGCAATATCGAGGAGGTATATAGCAATATCTATAAGTTTATAGGTCGTCTTAGTGTTAGGATAACTAGCGTATATAAGCAATATCCTATATAGCTACCCTCGACCGACACCTAAACTATACGCACTAAGCGGCGACAATGTATTACAAAGGACGCCTATAGCTTCCTATATAAGGAATAGGAAGGGCAGGCTACACAACTCGCGCTTACTACCGAGATAAATATCTTCCTTACTAACGACGAATACCGCGGTACTGCCCTCTTTAGCGATAAGGCATGTCTAGAAGAGCGGTTTTAGCGAACCGATATTCGGACTGTCGCGAAGACAGCTAGCGTAGATATAGGAGTTCGAGGAGGGAATAGTTAAAGGGCTACTAGCGTAGTATCGCTTAGGCAATAGTAACGACGTATACGGAATTTCTGTATCCGTAGTAAGTATACTATAAATATAGAAATACCTACGTATATCGTCGGCATTAACCTCGGATAGCGAGTAGCTAGATTACGGGTAGCCGTTTGCCGAGATTAAGATAACTACCTAGCATAATAACTGCTAGTCTAAGCGGTAGCGGCATCGAATTAATAGCTACGGGTCTAGGAATACAAGCCGAGCGTTACCGTCCTACGGATATAGAAATTCGCTATTAGTTAAGAGATGCGGGCACTAGCGGGTATATAGCTTACTAAATACAGAAATTCAAACGAATAGGCCTAGCTTAGATATACAATAATACCGCGTATAATAACTAACCGTAGCAAAAGACGTAAATACTATTGCATTATAAAAGGAATAGAGTTACGAGGATCGGCAGCAACGGCGGCTAGCGCTAAATAGTAAACAAATGAACTTTCATTTAAAACAGCGTAGCAGCGCTACTATAATATGCTATAAGGTCTTACGACCTCGTCTTTCGACGAGGCAGCCTCGAGAACCTATAACTAGCTAGACTAAGACAGTAAGAAACAAGCAAAGAACCGAACGCTAGCTACCTAAGCCTAAGCCTAAGACTAAAGAGCAAAGAAACAAACAAAGAACCTAGCGCTTAATTATTATTATTATTATTATCCTTATTATTATTATCCTTATTATTATTATCCTCGCTATCTGACGATAAACAAGGCGGATCTATATAAGGGTTATTTGCCCAAATGCAATAGGCACACTTGCGATGCTTGCCGAAGGTATCGGTAGCGTACTCGCGGCACTTAACGCCCGACCGAACATACTTAAGACATAGCCGGCGGCGAGTACGGCCGGCGATCTCTATAATGCGGCCGATATGCGACTAGATCTTCTAGCGGCCTTTTATTACTAAGACGTTGTTAGTACGAGTATAATACATATACTAATTTTAATATACAAAGCTACTTACCCTCCGATACCGACTACTATTAATCGACCGCTATTAGGCAGCGAAGTACTACGACATTCTTACTAGCTTTCGCTAGACGGCCGCGTTTCTTACTAGTGCTAGTACTAGCGCTAGCGCTAGCGCGGTCGGCTAGGGTCTTGCCCGGGAAAATTAGTACCTCGCGAGGCGCGATAATCGGTACGAATAGGGCGGAAGTTAGAGCGGTAGTAGCAGGCGGAGGGGTAGTAGCGGGCGGAGGAGCAGTAGAGATAATAGACGCAGCCTTATTATTATCGTCGTCGTCGTCGTCGTCGATACTATATACAGATGTTAGCTCTATATTTATAATAATGCTTAGATAGTTAATTAATTAAATATATATAGGAGCGTCCTCGCTACTAGAAGGCGGTACGACATAGTCGTCGTTCTACCTATAGATCGAGGTTAGAATACTAAACTCTAAGCTAGACAATCGACATAAGGAATAATAAACTTATAGGACTAGTTCGTCGTTACTACTAGCGTTAACTATTATTTAGTCGCTACGTAAACTATTAGTATACCTAAGCTCTACGAATAATCTGCTTAGACTATACTCTTCTTGCTACTGCTACTGCTACTACTACTACTGCTATCGGCGCTAACGTAGGAGCAGGAGCGTAGTACGGAACTAAGTAGAATTAGCGGAGCGGCGAGCGGTAGCGGCGGTAGCTAAATGCGCGGCAGCGCGACGACTAGAATAGAGCAATTAGGATACCTTCTAGACTCGCTAATATTGCTACTAGTAAACTTATAGGACGGCGCGGCAGCTAGTACGGCGGCGATAGGCGTCGGAGCTCTAAAGGCATATTAGTACATTGCTTTCCTACTTGCAATAATAGGGAATTAATTATACCTAGCTAAAGAAAGGGTAACTAGCACTAGTCGGGGAGAAGAAGGGGCCGCCTATTGTTGCTTTCTATACCGTTAACGTAATTCTTATGTTTAAGGTAGTATTATAGACGAGGGTAAGAGAGTAGGTGCGATATCTAGTAGAAGGAAGGAAGAAGAGGACGAAGATAGAAACGAGAGAAAGATATATAGCAGTAAAAGCCTTCTAGCTACTGTTCTATTGTTTAAGTAAGAGTAAGAGTTAGGGTAGGGCTTGCGCTTAGATTAGGCACTCGTAATTAGCTCTAGGCTGTACCGAAGTAAGGCTACTTAAGTGAAGTGTTTTTAGAATTTCTATATCTACTAGCAGCTACTACGAATATAGAAATTGTTGCTCTGCTTAGGCGAGCTAAGTTACCCTACGGACAATAGTTCGATATAAATTCTACCTAGATATAACTAAAGTTATCCTTACCGACTAACCGACTAATAATAGCAGAATAAAAGATTATAGGGTAGCAAGTCGATTAAGTTTTACTATAATATAATAGTAAAGGCAGGCATAGGGTTTAACGATATAGAATTAGTTACATTTCTATATTCGTAGGCGCTTACTATAGATACAGAAATGCGACTCGATATAGTATAGATAGATATATAGCTTTAAATAGCAACGACTGCCGCTATACCTAAGATAGATAAGTAGAAGGTTATAGAAGACGCTGAACAGGCCGCCTGTAATTGCTGCTACCAATCCTAATGCTGTTTGCCTTTACGCAGTATGTTTCCATTTATGTACGCTTGTCCTATAAATATAGAAATTGATATAGTAGTAGAGCAGAGCGGATTCCTATAGTAGTAAATACTGTACCAATAATTTACCATCCGAGTAGTTCCACTGCCAATGTGTCCTATCCGAGTAAGGGTTTTCCCATTTGTGTAATTACCATGCCAATGTGTCCCATTTGAGTATTTACCCGTTTTTGGAAGGTTGGAAGTGGAGAAGGGCCCTGCGTCGAGACCTTGTCTACGCTCTGTTGGCCATGCACATGGTTGATTTCTGGCAGTTGCATAGTGTCGGCGCTATCTCGCTGTAAGATGTCACCAGTATGAACGAGCTTGGAGATGCAGATTTTGGACAAATGTCTGTGCATTGAGTATCGTCTTCTACTCATTCGTATCCTCATCTACAGCGAAGCTCGGCGGGCAAATTGGTTTTGCGTCTTAACATATCTCTGGACAACAGCTCTGAGCAATGCACAACCCGAGAATACGCCACGGCTTGACAATCCGCGAGATCTCGCCTTGTGATCCTAGGTCGGTCATAGGACCTAGCAGTGTTCAGCCCAGCGCCGCCATTTGTGTACGCATGATCTTCAGAGCCTTTCTCTCAAGGCGGCGACTCTTCTTTTGCAGTAGCAGAGACTGACTGCATGCATCGCGTCTACGCCGTGGTATTCTCGAAGAAGAACGTCGGCTGACCAGGAATTGCGTTCTCCGCCGACTGAGGTAGTTCGGCTCTCTGCTCGCCAACATTGACACCAGCTGAGCCGCCGGCGACCTTACCCTTCTTCGTCTCGAGGTCTACGGCAATGAGCTCAACGACAGCGCACTTCTGAACAGTCTGCTTGAGACCGGGAACCATCTCCTGTAGGACTGTAACCTCATCAAATGCAAGTTTGCGCTCGAAGACAGTGTTTGGGTTCACACCAGTCTCCAAGTTCTTCTTCAGCTGCTGCACAAAAGGCATGGCACGCTTGCTCTCTGCCTTTGGTATGCTCTTGGACACAGCGCCGACATCAAGTTTCATGTCGGAAAAGTTCTTGCGCACGATCTCAATGACACCGTCCTGCCAGGATGGGTATGCTGTCGCGTAGAAGATGGAGAGCTTCTTGTCCTTCTTCGGGTCGTATGAAGTCTGCTTGCCCTTTTGCATCTTCTTGAGCTGCTGGCCTTCGGCACTTGTGATATTGCTCTGCGTCGATCGAACATAGTCTCGAGCGGCTGTGAGGTGAGGCTGCTGGTCGGGTACTTTGGGGAAGAGAGCATTCTGGACGGTATCCGGCTTCTTCAGGACTTCCAGCCAGATGTGTTCCGACCAGTGAGGGGCAACAACTGTAATCATCAAGGCTTGCAGTTCGACATAGCGCTTGACTAAGTCATGGTGCATGCCAATACCTGCTGCCTTGGTGGCCTCTCGATAAAAATCACGAGCGCCAATGAAGTCGTAGAAGCCGCTCTTCAGAGCAGCCTTGTAGTTGGTGGCATCATACTGAGCCTCTGTCTCACGAACCAAGCCATTCAACTCGTTCTCAAACAGCTCATCCCACAGCATCTTCTCGCCAGTGCGCTGGACAGCATCATTTGTTTTATGTCGCTCATCCTTGATGACTTGTGTGTAGATCTCGCCATTTTTGAGCGGACGAGCATCTCCAACGACGCCTTCGCACCACTGCCGAAGCTCGAACAAGCGGAGAATATTGGCGTTGGCCACGGTCTCATCGAAGTTAGCATCTTCGATAGTATCACCAGCATCGGCAAGTGCGACACGCGTGGCGTCAGCACCAAACTTGGCTGTCGCATCGTACAGAGTGAGGAAATTGCCGGTGGATTTCGACATCTTCTCGCCGTTGAGCAGCAAGTGGCCGTTGACCCGAATGGCGCGGGGCCAATATTCCGGCTTGAACAAAGCGACATGCACGTACAGGAAGAACGTCAAGTGGTTTTGAATCAAGTCTTTACCGGAGACACGCAAGTCAAGAGGGTACCAGTACTCGAACTCGCGTCGCATGCGTTGCAGAGTCCCCTCTGGTATGGTGCATCCTTGTGGTACTGTCTCGGTTCGGCAGAAAAGCCAGTCCCAGACTTCATCAGTGAGCTGGTCTGGAGACACGTTTGCCGGTCCCTTCTCTTTGCCGAAGATATCCTTATGGAGCAAGTGGGCGATCGTGTAGTACGACATGTAGATTGTCGAATCCGACAAACTCTCGACCAGCTGTGTCTGGTCCCAAGGCAGCTTGGTTCCAAGACCGTAGCCACGAGCGCATGCCCATTGAGCCAACCAGTTCAAGACCTGCTCGAAGGCGTTCTTGGTCTCAGTAGAGAATGTGTTAAGGCCATTGCCGTCCTCGTTCAAGACGTGCTTCAGGACAGCAGGCTGCCATTCGGGATCGCCCGACTTCTCAGGCTCTCCATAGTTCATGAACCATTGGTCCAAGTGGCCAGCAACGCACTCATCTCCGGATCTGCTGATGACCTCACCATCGGGCTCAGCGTATGCAAATGCCTCACCAGCATCAATCAGTTGCTGCCGCACCAGTGGCTTGGCTTCTTCAACGCTCTTGCCCTTGAAGTCGCCATAGATCATGGTGCCCTTGTAGAAGCCCTCCTTGTAGGCTTCAGCTTTGGCCTCAGCCAACTGCTTAGCATCCTTGGGAGAGTTGATCTTCATCTTTTCTACCAGGGCCTTCGCTGTCAGGTTGCCATAGGTAGGGGTTTCAATGATGGGCAGAATGTCCATATCAATCCACTCTTTCTTGATCTTGTAGTATTCGGCTTTCTTTTGCAGGTCCAAGGTGGTGATGTAGTCGTCAGGTGAGTCGGATGGCACACTAGTGACCACACCAGTACCCTTTGTCGGCTTGACGGATTCCATAGGAAGGATGCGCACGCCATCTTTGTGTGCCGACAGTGGCGCATTGACTAGAGTGCCGATGACATCTGATCCCTTCAAGTCAGCGACCTTGGGAAAGACGCCCCATTGAGGGAAGATGCTCTGGAAAGCCATATTTCTCGCAGCACGGTTCGAGACGAAGTAGTATTCCTCGCCCTGCTTCACCTCGAAGATGCCATAGTCGACATTGGGGCCAACGAAACAGCAATTTTGACCATACATTGTCTCCGGTCTCAAGGTCGCTGGCACAAAGTATACGTTTGCACCGTGTGGGATCTTGCCCTCAATCTTGCTCTTCGCGCCATCTGCCCACTCCTTGACGCGCAGCTTGAGCGCTGTATACTCTTGAACACCGACACCCTCACCCTTTGCTCGGTCGTGGTCCATACATGCTTGACGGTCCTTGGGTGAGTAGACGGTGTAGCGCTTGCCGAACTTGATCTTTCCGAGCTCTTTCAGGCGATTCACTTGCCATCTCACAAAGGCATCGTAGTATGGGTTGGCATCGGTCGTGACCATGGATCGTCTCCAGTCAACTCTGCATCCTAGATTGTTCAAGTCTCGCTGCCAGAGTGGAGGAAAGTACTGCAGCCAGTACTGGGGGTCTGAGAACTTGTGGATCTCTCCGATCGGAATGCCCAAGGCCAACATGATTTGGAACTGGTACTTGAGAGCCACATTGACCTTGGCAGCGGCTTTAGATTTCTTGGTGGTGAATTTGGTGATGTCCTCCTTGGTCGTCTCTTGCACGGGTGCTGGCGGAGCAGCATTTGGCTCTGCATTCTCGTCCTTGACTGACTCGACAGTGCAATTCTCAAAGGTTTGGCCAAACATTTCGATCTCGCGAACAAGCTTGTCGGCGCAGGCTTTGATGGGCATACCCGTGCAGTGGAAGCCTTGCGGGTACAGCGCTCTCTTGCCCTGCATGCGCGCCCATCCCACTGCAAACTCGAGCTTACTTGCGGTGAAAGAGTGGCCAGCGTGCGGTGTGCCGTTGACGTATGGGTAGGCCATAGTGACCATGTATTTCGGGTGTTTCTTTCGCAGCTCGGCCGGTGCGATGGCATGGAAGGGCACTTCTTCCAGAGACGGCGCATTCTGCTCGAAGACCTTGCTGTCCTGCCACGCCTTCTGGTATTTCTTTTCGCTTGCTATAAGAGTATCGCGCTTTTCGGTGTTTTCGATCTTCAAAGTGCCTGATGGCTGTTGCTGAGCGGCCAGAGCCTCGTTGGTGGCCTGCACGGCTGCCATGTTTGCGTATGCGTATCGTTGTGGTATGCGCAGGCCGGCCAGGCGCAGGCGGAGGTGTTTGGAAAGGAGCGACGTTTTGACTCTCGCTGGAGTTGGAGTGTGTGGTGGTAGATTTGCTGTGTGACTCAATGGCTCTACTTGGGTTGTGCTGTGTATAAATTTTGGCCGCACAGTTGCGGAGAGCTTCCTGTTCCTGTTGCCCACACTGCCATCTACAACACCAACCACCAACCACCATGTCGTCCTTCTTCGCGGGACTTTTCAAGAGTGCGCCGCAGACTCCACAATTTGCACCGCAATTCCCCTACGCCATCGAGAAGAACCCATACCAATGCAAGCGTACTTGGCCTCCCGACTTTACACAACTATCTGAAAAACATCAGTTCCGGCTTGAGAGACGCTACAGGAGAAGAGCAAAGCTGAAGTGGGCAAGGCCCAATTGGACAAAAGGCGTCAAGCTTGCGCAGTGGGGCAGCATTGTCTTCGTGTGCGTGTACGGAGTGCTGTATATGGATGTCGGAAATGGACAGACACCATTCGATGGAGTGAGTTCGGGCATGAGCAAGGACGTTGCGCACCGCACACTGATATCGATTTAGATAAGGCAGGCCTATAAGGAGCAATTCGCTGGCCATACCGGGGCAAGAGACCATCCTGCAGACGATGCCAGCCCAGCAGCGCGCCGGGCTTCTTGAAAATCGCTCACGAAGCCCATACATCTTGACATAATGTCGCAGAAGCCGTCTCGAAACACTCCGGAATCGCGGAATCGGCAATATTTTGAGCAGTCGTCATGCCTCCTGTACGGGTCACTGGCGCGAGACACAACTATCTTGCCTTGCCTCAATTGAAGCATGACGCTCGCAAAAGCCCACCAGCGAGCTACGGCTTAGCTGGAGAGGCCGCACGCATTTACTGCGCGAAACTTATTATGGCGTATTGTCGCACAGTTTATAGCTTAGGCAGGAGGTGAGGCTGCAATCGAAACTGCGCACCCATGCATGCTTCAGTCGGGCACTGTCAGCCAGTGAAGGCCGCCACATATTCATGGACCGTGGAGATTCTACCAACGACAGCTCGCCTCTAGCTCAATGGAATCAAGTTCAGCATTGAGACAAGCGAGCCTCTCGCAAAGAGGCCGCCTCGCATGCACGCGACGTGTGCTGGCACGCAGCTGCCAAGCCAGCCGCTTCTGCTTGCTTTAAAGCTATGCGCTATATTCTCGACTTTCCCAGCCTAGTTCCAAAGACTGATCTCCAAATCGTCAAGGCCTTTACATTCCAGAATGGATCACACAAGTCGATTCAAGATTCGGGAAATCACGACTTATTCCCACGAAGCAAATCAACACCTGGTCAGCATTCGCAGGCAAGAACCCCAATGGGCAGCGTTAGACGTGCAGCATATCTTTCCGGGCCCGAGAGATGATGGTCCACCACCCGCTGCCGCATTTCGTCTTGTACCATCAGCCCAAGGTCCTTCTCAGTTCGAGATTCCCTTGCAGGTCACATTGACGCTGCAGACCATCACTGGCACCTATTTTATGACCGCCGAAGGCGAATACAGCGATTTTAAGCTGCAAACTCTCCCCTTCCACGTGTCTCAACAGGACCTGGACTCGCAGAAAAGGGTTGCGCAATTCTTTCTCCAGCGCACAGTAGATTCGCCTTTCAGAATCAGTATTGGGCGGTGGCGTCTTTACAGATATCAGGACTCTGGTTGGATTGAAGTCGCCGACTGCGAATCTCCTGCTTTCGATGCTTACTTTTTCCTCGGAGGCGCAGCCTTAACTATATTGAATGCCTACATGCGATCAGACCTTCACATCCTCGAACTGGTGAACAGAACTATTCCTTACTACCACCATATCAATGGCAGAGCTTGGTATCAAGTTGAGCAGACTGTCCTGGAAAACATTATGCAAAGACTGTGGGGAATGAGCTCCGATTTGATCAAATACGATACAATTCGTGGAGCGAGTTCTTATCTGGATGTCGCGTTCGATTCTAAATTTATGTTCAAACTTGGCGAATTTCTCGCGAAGTTGGCGAACCGACTGAATTGCTTCGATCTGGCTTCGCTGATATACGTTGCGCTCAAATCCCTTGGCACCCGACCAGGCGCGCGCAATAGTGGTTACGTTAATGTAAGTGGTTCGATACTGCCTACATGAGATGATGATGATCGTTGAACCTACGCTTGCGCAAATGCGTCTGCTCAGATGCTAATCGCCTTCCGCAGGTATTCGACGTTGGAGTATTTAAAGTGCAAGGATGGGGCCAAGTTCGATCGGGTGCGCTCTTCGGCTATGGCAGCTCTTTCGAGTCGCCAAGCAACAATCCCTTCTACAATAATGATCAATTTGAAGGGATCCCTCAGCCTTGGCTTATGCCGTCGAATGATCCAAATCGCGGAGGTTTCAGTCAGCACTGCTTCACAGTCTTGAACTATTCTTCCAGGCCCAAAGTCCTTGATATCTGCCACATTCCTCAACAACTGGGCACGAAACTGATAGCAGCACATGATGGCAGTCTCACACTGCCGAGAGGATGGCCTTTAGATCTACAGACGTACCTTGATTCGAGAGATGAAGGCGCGCCCAGGAAGACGAGGAATGATTTGGAAGGTAAGCCTTACTTTCCATTGCATGCTCTGTTGTGCGAACGCTGAATTATTACAGTTGTCCCTGTCGAGTACATTCATGTCAACTTTTATCCTGGGATATGGATCGAGCCCGACCGGATATATGCCGATTGAGCATATGGGTTGTCATTGGGTGGTAGGGTAGTGTGACTATTGCGGAGAGGCCGCACGAGCGAATGTGAAGACATCGACTTTCGATATCGCGACCTCACTCACGATCGCAGCATTTGCTCTCTGGCATGGCGCTCTTTCCTTCTGGCTGATTTAGTACTAGAGACCTCAGTTGCGTGACTAATATCGAATTCAGCTCTATCTGCTATGGATATAAGTCACTCTCATCTCTTATCTCTCAGCTCAACTGGATCTAGATGTAACTGTACGTCTAAGCGGCCTGCCCACGGAGGGCTTGAACAACTCGGCCCACTTCACTTTAGACCCTATCTCGAACTCATCTCACGCCCAGGATATTGCAACTTCACCCAGGAGACCCTAGCACTATTCTCGACCTGCGAAAAGCGGTCAAAGACTCAAAAACTGGTGGGCCATCGAGCAGTCTCACCTGAATCCTTTTCGTGGAAGACCATCTCACGTACTGGCTTCGGGTTCTCTCTCAGCACCCCAGCAATATCCGCTGTCCCAGAGAAACCGTTTCAATGCTTCAATCGTTCCCTGTCGTCTTCATGCCACGGCAGATCGTCTGTTCCCATTCCGGCAACATTTGCATGGAACGGCCAACATCGATAGCGAGGGAGGGTGTATAGCGTGGTGTACTGGTCGATGAATGCATTGAATGCCTTAAGAAGAACGTCCGCCTGCTCCTCATGGACGTGTGGTGGGCAAGTGTTTACTCTAGTCGACTGAGATGCTCTTCGAGCTGTCTAATCTGCCTACATGACTGCTCGTCAGCACTCAAGTCCGGGCAATACATCAAGCTCATTTCCTGAACCTCATCTTGGTTCTTTTTCTGGACGCGAGTGCAGAGCAGACTCGCGAAGGGTGCTCTCGTAGGAGCAGCTAATACATACATACGCTCAGGTATGCCTTCGTACCGCCGTTTTGATGGAAACAGAGTTACAAAATTTGCTCTCTCAGGAAGAATCGAGCGGTACCACGTATGTTGCTCTCAGGAAAGTACCCTACGCATGCGTGCACGCAGATTCGCTGATAAGATCTCAATACGATTCCTCTGATGGAAGTCGCGAACGAGCAAACGGGGACCTCATCCATCTGAAACTAGGCCATCTCGGTGGACGGTCATATTACATCTCATCCTATCTCCAACTTCAGCTCCACACTTCTAGTATTCAGCAAGGAAGCATGTACCTGGATTCGCACCTACCTCATGTAACTCAATTCAGCCTCAAAGTCGCAGCTCTCACCTGACAGCTCTCGAGCAAGAATTCTTCTCCAAATTACTGGTGTCGAACTCAGAGGCCTTCGTTGCTAGATGCCGGATGGGGCAAATACTCGAGATGCAATTCGCGTGAGCCAATATACCTCACTGTAGCAGCTCCCAGCTGACGACTCTCGAGCAGACGGTCCCCCCAGGCTGCTAAGGTCCAACCTGGGAAGCGCTGTTACCAATCTTTGTGCGGAAAAGACACTGGGAGCGCCACTCGTGTGAGCTCTCAAGCCTAAAAATTTATAGCTTACCTGAACCCTCTCTGGCAACTCGCTCTAGCAGAAAGACCTAGATCCAACCGGAAGACCTCTGATCCCGGATTTTGCGTGGGGATGATACACAAAACCTGGTCTACGTGAGCCCTAGAAGCTCGAAACGTCACTACTCACTTTGAGCCCCCGGAGCAGATCGCTCTCAAGGAATTGCCTAGATCCATCTACATGGGCTTAATGCCACATTTCTGCGCCGAAGCAGTACTACCCAAATCACTCGTGCGAGTACCTGCCAGGTAGGCCTTGGATCTACACCTCTCACCTGTTGCCTCTCTCGCACAATGTAGGCATATAGAAGGACCTAGATTCGACCGTAGGACCTCTCGTAGCACTCGGTGGAAGGAGATAGCGCTTGGAACCTTTCCTTGCGTGAATCTCTTACCCTGGGCATCACATCTCTCACTAGGAGCTTCTTCGAGACGGCGATTACCCTACGATGATCCAGATCCGATCTCGAGGGCTAGATACCTCTTTGCGTAGAAGCAGTCTTCCCCACACTACGTTAGGTAAGGACTCAAGCCCGCAAAACGCGCCACTAATTCAGTGTTTCTCTCGAGCAGATATTCCCCTTCACAGGAACCAGATACCAAGGCGAGTCTTTTGGTCTCGTCTTAGACGCAGAGATGAAGCTAGAGACTACACTTAGGTAAGCCCCTATAACTAGTTAACGTCTCTCTTACTTAGTGCTTCTCCGAATAACGCACTATCTTAAAATCTACCGGATACGTACACGAGACCTTAAACTCAACTTTAGAATAGAAGCAGAACGCGTTCTAGTAAATTCTCTAAGCCCGCGAGTTATTACCTTACCTAGTGCTTCTCTATCCGATCGTCTCCCTTAGCTAAGTATATATTCCCTCTTAGAAGCCTCTATTAATTACGAGATTCTCGCATACTAACGTAAGTCCTCGAACGGCCTTACTCTATTCTTCTCTAGAAAATTCGGCGCTATATCCCTCCCTGAATTTCCTCCGGAAACCTCGAAATCGATCAACACACTAAAACGAACCTCGAAAGTGTTACGCGTACGTGAGTCCTCGAATGACTTTCCTCTGCTCTTCTCTCGAAAAACTCGACACTATATCTATACCCAAATTTCCCCCGGGAACCCTCGAACCCGACCGAACCTCGAAAAGATGCTGCGTTTGTGTGAGGCACCGAACAGTCTCACTCTATACCTCTCTATCAAACCCGACGCTACACCTACACCTGAATTTCCTCCGGGAACCCTCGAAACCGACTAGCACACAGAAACGAAGCTCGAAAAACATGCAAATTTGTGTGAGCTAGAATATCGAAGTCATCACCTCACGTCACAAAAAAAAAAAAAGAAAAGAAAAGTCTCCGCTCCAAAATTTCAAAACTTCATATCTCATCCTGCTTGCTACCCGAACGCCTTGGTATCGTAATTTTACAAAGAAAGGCAGCAAAAAGAAAAGAGAGAAAACTACTTCTGCTCCTCCCAAAGCTCGTCAAGCTGCTCCATGAGCTCGTCTCCAATCAACTCCTTTCCAACCTCATCCGAAACCTCAAGTTCCTCGACCCGATGCGAGCGAAGGAGGATTTCGTTCTCGTCTGGGATTGGGTAGTGGAAGTTCTCGAGCATTTGCTGGGGGACGAAGCTTCTCTGCTGCCAGTTGACGGTTCCGTTGCCTGGGACACGGGGGTGAGGGAGGAAACGGCCGTGGAGGACATCGGTGGAGATGCGTTCGTCTCCTTCGTATTTCTGCTCGTGAGGCTCCGGCCAGTCTGCTGCGGGGGTGGTGCGGGTAAGATTGTGGTGCGGGGTGAAGACGGTTGGGAGGGCGAGGACGGAAGACAGGTTGTTTCCCCAGGCTTCGTAGCGCTCGTTGAAGGCTGTGTTGGTGGCAGGGGGATCGTGGAGGTGACCTGCCTCGATGCGGTCGCGGGCGATCCGGCGGTTGCGGGCGTCGAGGAGACGGTTCATTGAGGCACGATCGCGCGCGATGAAAGTGCGGTGCGTGTTGATGTCGTAGTCTTGTGGCCAGACGTCGGAGCGCGGGCAGAAGTTGGCGCGGTGCCGATTGAGATGGGCTTGTTGCTGGCGTTGGGCTTGGATTGCCTGGTCGGCGACGATGCGAGGAGCGACCTGGATAGGAAAAGGTTAGAGAATCCAGATGAAGAAACGAAGGTGGAAGGGGACGTACCCATTTGCTGCTCTGCGTGTGAGACACCGGGCGTGGTCCGGTCAGTCCTGGTGGCGGCTGCGGTGGTTGCGGTGCAGTCTGTTGCTGCTGCTGGCCTCCATGGCCTCCACGACCTCCTGGGCCCATAGTACCTCCACCGCGCTGTGCGCCATGTCCGCCGCGGCCTCCACGAGCTGCACCTCTACGAGAAGAAGAACGACCGCCCATGATGATGTTTCAGAAAATGAAATCCCAAATCGAAAGGTTCCTGTTGTCGATACGCACGGCTATGGCGTGCTGACTGGCAAGATGCTGAAGATAACGAATGCTGAATCGTAAAGTATGGTATGTGGTCGCTCAGCTTGTCTGAGGACGTATCTGAACACAGAATGTAAGCAAAATCCATCCTGGACATGACGAAGACGCCCAAGTCCAAAAAGAAATGGCAAGCAGGCAGAAGGCTGGCGATGGCGATGGCATGGTTGGCGTGTCGAATGTCCCGATCATCCAGAAAAAAAAAACAAGGTCGCAGAACGCAGCTAGAAAGATGAATGTAAGCAGAAACAGAGAGTAGAATTGGACCTACCTCGACGTCGAGAAAGCTGACTTTGCCAAATGTAGGCAGAGAAGCAGACGTCGTCAGAGGGGAGCTCGTTTTCGGAGCTGCGCAAGCACAATACGGAAAAGGAAATGGTAGGCTTGGAGGCGTCAATGCTGCAGAGAGGCGACGTGCAAGACTTGAGTCGGATGACTTGTGCCACTTCAATCCGGGCGGATCGAGCACTTTCAAAGGTGGAAGTTGTTTGTTGATGTCGAGCTTGCTGGATATCGAGGCAGTTGGTGTACTGCGGTCGTTGCTGCGCCGCAGGATGCTAATGTTGGCCGGAGAGGAATGAGTGTTCTTGTGTGAGCGCATTAAGCTGAGCTCTTCAATAGCAAGGCCAGAACAGGCAGATAGATGTCGTGGTAGTGGATGTAGTGGTGGCGCTGGTGTCCCAGTCTTGCGAGCGGGCAGTGAGCGCGCGATGGGGTTGGTGTCGGTGGCGGATGTCGGGTGTGGTGGATGGTTTTGGAAGGTGTGTCGGCGAAGGTTGTCTGTCGGTGGTTGTTGTGGTGTGGAAGAAAAGAAGCAGTCTTTTGTAGGTGTGCGCAGGCATCCGGAAGGGCACGTGCTGCATGTGACCAGGCTGAAGTGAGGATTCAGCTGAATTGCGTAGTGCGCACAATAGCACCAACAAGGCGGTGTGATGTCGGTTTAGGCGGAAATGAGGCTTCATTGGCACGAAGTGAAGCGATTTCCGCCGCTTCTGAAGCAGTCACGACCGCTCAATGGCATATCAGGCAGCAATTCAGGCGGCGACAAGTCAATGTAGCTGTCACAAGATGCAGTGGAGCAGGTGATGCATTCCGTGTTCATGCAATGATAATGACACGCTTGTGAAAGCTGGGGAGTTTTCGGTGGTAGGCACGATGGTGTTGAAAGCGGCTGCTGTGGTCGAGTTTCTTTGTAGAGCTTCCAACGGAGGTCAGTTGGGTCCAAGCACTGCACACTCCGAGGCCGACGACTATCGAGACAGTTACGCGTGAAAGCGGGAGCCTCGAGCGAGGTGAATGGAAAAGCTCTCATCGAGTAATGTTTTGCTTCTGAAAGACATTGGAGAGGAAGCTTCCTCGTTCGCTATGTCCTGGTGACAGGAGGCACCCGGCAAGGTGATTCAGGCCTATACGTCATGCCAAGTGGGCAGAAGTGAGGTGGGGTGGCTTGACTAGCGCCAGGCCGGCCACGCGACGACGTTTAAAAGACGTTTCGCGCTCGCAACTCCAGAAGGTGCTGGTCGCCTCCTCTGCCACTGCCTTTCATCCTGCGCTGCTGCGCCTTCACAGAGGAGGCCGGGCGACGATATGAGCCCACCTTGCTTGCGGTCTCGCGCCACGCACTGAGACCGCCGCCTGCGAAGGCCGACGACCATTTCGCTCAAAAAAAAAAAAAACATCTGCTGGCTCTGATCAGAAGACAGAATCACATCGAGAGCCAGTCCGGGAAATGCGTCGCCGCTCTTCGCAGAGTTCGGTCATTGCTCCAGCGACCGCTGCCACCGCTCCGTCGACTGCAGAACGAGGCTCGTGCCATGCCGAGCGCTTCCATAATTGGATTTCGCGACAATGAAATGGCCATTCACTGAACCGCCATTGTGAAGGCCATGCTGTGTTCCAGACAAAGCTGTTCAATGCACGCATGACCGTTTCATTCCCCGGAAATCATGGTACGTCAAGCCTCTTCAACCTTTATTGTCGCCCCCATTGTTGCCCCAAGCCTCTCTGCTTCAACCAACACCAGCAACCACACGGCGACATGAACTTCCATGCTACAATTTCACTTCTGCAAAAAGCACTGCCTTTTCAATTCACTATTGTAACCAAAGTTAATCGCACGCGCGACCTACCTCACAACGCCTGGCGCGTCAATCATCTTCACTAAACATTCTTCACCACCGCACCACCCCTTCCCTTTCCTTCTTCACCGCCCGCCCATCCCTTACACTCGTGCCGCCGACACCGCAAAATACTGAGACGCATCGACAGGCCTTCCCGACTTTCAGTGTTTAGCCACCAGCATGCCACCCTCAGAGAGCCAACAGCAATTCCCAAATCCTGCGCCTCCGTCTCTTTCCGCTGGCGATCATGAGTCGCGCGACTACTACGCTGCCCAGGACGTATCACGACCTCCGCAACAAAACCATCCTTACCTGACACCCTATCTCGGTCTTCGAGCGAGACTCTCGCAGACCTGGATTAATCGCTGGACCATTCTTCTTTTACTTGTACTAGTCCGGACAATCATTGCCATTGCAAGTGTGCACGACAATTTGGTGGTGGCGAGAAGGCAAGCATTGAGTGCTTGTACTTCTGTGGAAAATGTGGGCTCAGCAATGGCAAGCATGCCTCACTACATGAGCCAAGGCGTTAACGAGCTTACCGCGCAGAGCATCGAAAAGGCAATCAACGGTCTGATGCAGATGCTCATCCTGGCCTTGACTGCTGTCGAGGAGATTGTCGTCTTCGTCATCAATTTGCTGACTCAGACCTATCTTTGTCTGATTACCCTCGCCGTTAGCGGCAGTCTACACGTCGCTGTTTCTGTGGCCGAAGACGTTGGTGATTTCCTCAACTCGACTGCGAAAGATGTCGGCAAAGGTCTGGGCGATGTCGCTTCAGACTTTCAAGATGCCATGAATGGCTTCCTCTCTGGCCTCAATGACATCGGAAGCATCTTGACTGGAAAGGACAAGAACTCTCCCAAGCTGGACCTGAGCAGCGAGATCGACAAGCTCAACACCCTTCAATTGCCCAGTGGCTACGATCAAGGCCTCCGGAACCTCAACAAGTCTATTCCTACGTTCGCGCAGGTCAACAATCTGACGCAAACAGCAATCAGGTTCCCCTTCGAGGAGGTCAAGAAGTTACTCAACGAGAGCTTGCCGCGCTACACCATGAATCACTCCATGTTTCCAGTACCTGCGAAAGAGCAGCTCACGTTCTGCTCTGACAATGACGGCGTCAATGACTTCTTTGACGACCTTATTGCGATCAAGAACATGGCGAAGAAGGTCTTTTTGGGCGTCATCATCACTGCCGCGGTCTTGGTCATGGCCCCGATGGCATGGCGAGAGCACAGACGGTGGAAAATGATGCAGGAGCGTGCGCACCTGGTCCAGGACAATGCACGTGACCCACTGGATGTTGTGTACATCGTTTCACGACCGTACACATCAGGGGTAGGGCTCTGGTTCGCCCAGAGATTCTCCTCGGCCCGCCGTCGAGATGCCGTTCGATGGGCCATCGCCTACGCTACTACAGTACCGGCACTTTTCGTGCTGTCACTGGCCATCGCTGGTCTCCTGAGCTGTCTTTGTCAATATATCCTGCTCAAATCGCTTGAGAAAGAAGTTCCAGCTCTCGAGAATCAGATCATCGGCTTCTCTGACAAAGTTGTCAACTCGCTCAACAACGCAAGTGAGCAATGGGCTATCGGCACCAACAACGTCATCAATGACACGAACACTAACATCAATGATGATGTCTTCGGCTGGGTCAATATCACCACAGGCGCTGTCAACAACACGCTGAATGTATTTGTTGACGAGATGATGGGTGCCCTCAACGACACCTTCGGTGGCACTATTCTATACGATCCGATCGTAGAAGTTCTCAACTGCTTAGTGCTGCTCAAGATTGAGGGCATCCAGAGAGGACTGAACTGGGTGAGCGAACATGCTCATATCGACATTCCGATGCTTCGCAACGATACATTCTCGCTTGGCACAGCTTCGAAGCTGTCCGGCTCATCGGAAAACCTCGTGGCGACTGGACCTGATGGTGCCGCTGCCGATGCGATCAGCGATGCTGTCAATCACGTTATCTCCGCCCTTGCCAATGGTATTCGTCAAGAAGCCATCATCTCATCTTGCGTCTTGCTGATATGGGTGATCATTGCTCTCATTGCTATCTTCAGAGCATTGTACATGCTTTGGAGAGGTGCCGGAGTTGGCACGCACGATGGCTCGGTTCCGAAAGGTCGCCTGTCATCCTCAGAAGAGAAGTTTGAACTTCGTGAGGTGCCCACCTACGAGCAGGCGACCGGAATCGCCCACACAGGAGACCATTCTGGTAACAAGTACAATGGCCAGTCGTACACTCTCACTCCGGCGCCACTTCCGACCTTCGAAGTCAATAGTGCAACGTCGCCCGTCATGCATACCGGCTTCAGTCCTCCTACCGAGAAGACCGGCACAGTCAACGGTCGAAACGCAAGCATACGCCGACAAACCCACATTCGCGTTTCCAGCCACGGAGCCTACGCCATCACTTCACCAGCGTCGCCACCTCAACCAAATCCATTCCTTAGTACAAGCGAATCCAAGGATCCCAGGCAGAATCCATTCGCCGACCCTGTCCATTGACCCACTGTCATGAGTTGGCGTCAATCACGCACCTGACCTTTTCATCTCCCATCGTCGACTGGGAGAGTTCTGAGTCATCCGCATGATCATATGGACAGGTCTGTGACTGCCGACGAGACTTTAAATATGCTCAGACCGAGATGAGTATCCGGTCTCTGTTATCTTGCAGCACCCTGTTGCTGCGATACAGGCGCATCACGCAGCACCCGTGCTGGTATTTGCGCAAATTGCGACTTCTTTTATTGCGTTCTTGAGTTGTGCGCTGCCCCTGTGGCAGCGGTGTCGAAACCCTTTCCTTCTCTCCTCACCATGATCCGGACGACGTCAAGATACCCAAGTGCTGGACGAACTTGACGTCTCCTGCGATCTGGTCGCATGAGAGAGACTTGAGAAAGAGTTGCATTTCCTTTGGTTAGTCGCCCTCGTCGCGCCATCCATCCCGCCCCTATACTCCATTCCTCCAATTTCCGTGTCGATACCGTCGCCTCTGGCCTCCGCTGGTCGATGAACCTGGTACTTTCGGCGACATTATCTGTTGAGGCTTGGCCCAGGTAAAACCACATCCGAACGATGCAGAGTTCCGACCACGTGGGAGGTGTCGCGAAGATGCACTTTACGATTGTTGGCAGAATGGAGCAAGGGCCGGACATGTGTTGTCAAGCTTTAGGTGCTTGACAAGAGTAGCTTTGCCGATCCTAGGAGAGGGAGCTGCTTGCGTATGGTCGCTCACTCGCCCTACCTCAGTTCAGACCTTCCTTGCTGCTATGCGCAGGACTGTTTGTCTAGAACGAGGTACTGGTTGCTGACAGGTAACGAGCGTTCCATGAGATTTCGAGGGAGACGGCATGATGTGCGGTTGTTCATTTGGCATCCCTGTCCTCTGGACACGGGGTTGGTTCATCCTGCTGGGTTCGTCCTTGTGCGAGACCGTGGGAGTCTGATGCTCGTTTCTGTGTGTAGAAAGCTGGCGCTGGGCTGTACATGGAGCGATGGCAGGACGTTTGGAGGAGACAGATGGCTGTACCGGACATAGCTGACAAGAACCTACTCCTCCAAATTCTTGAGTTTTGAATGCCTCACGTATTGACGCAGTAGAGGGTGCACTGCCATTGAAAATGGACGATGTCCCTCAAGCAGGTGTTGGTATCATTTTTCCCGTGTGCCATTTAAAGTTCGTTCTTCAAGGAACTCCGCGCAAGGAAGTTCCTTGCTTGCACACGAGCCGCTTCAGGGTCCAGCCGAACGCCACGCCACTTCGCGTTCCTTTCCTTGGCGCAGGACGCAGTGGCAGTGGCAGTGTGCGCCTCAGACGGAACACTCCTTATTATTCGCACTTCTCGGACATCACATCACGACAACACCCTCTCCCACCGCCGACGACCACTTGGACGTGGAACTGCATGGCTATTCTATCGGGCACATCCATTAGCGCGTGACGCTTCCGCGAGATGCCGGTCAGATTATAGCATCCAACATCACATTATTCATTCGCGCTACGCCAGTATGAGCAATGCACCGTCGTTGCGGCCTCCGCCCCGACCAACTTCACCGAGCGCGCAGCGATCACAGTCTTCCCTTTCGCAGGCTTCATTGCGCAGCGAATCCAGTCTTTCAAATGCCTCCCTTGAATCAGGCCACACCAGCACGCACACGCAGCCGGCATTGAAGCGTTCGCCATATGTCCAGCCGCCGCCGCCGCCGCCAACGAGACCTTCTACCGCTGGAGGAATCACACCATCTCAGAGCACGACCACGCTCCAAGGACTTCAAGGCCTTCCGCGGCATGCGGCGCGCGGCTCTGTAGATGGAACCCTAAGCACTGTCACTCCAATGCCGGGCCAGCACATTGGCCATCGCGCACGGCAGCACAGTCAAGGCTTCTTCGAACCTTCACTGCCTCATGCAACGGCGAATCACAATGGCCTTACTGCATCGCAGATCGCGGCTCAGGCCGCTATGCACCACATCTCACCACCACCTAGCAATTTTGGAGAACGGAAACGCTCATGTCCTGGCTTAGCACCTATCAATACTTCACGTCCTGCTGGCTACCGACGGCCAAGCCATGACCATAGTCCACAGGGCCACTTGGCATCAGCTGGACCGCTGGCATATAGCAATGGCACAGTAGGTGGCAGCAGATTAGCGGCGACGACTGCCGCGAATGCCGCCTTTCCAAATGGCAGAAGCCCGCTTCCCTCGCCAGGTCTTCCGCCTCCGACGCACAATATTGCGCTCGGTCCACCTCCTGACAAGGAGCCCAAGACAAAGTCTTCCAAGATCAAGCTTTTCAAGCCTAAGAACATCAATCTCAGCAAAGAAAAAGATGGCAAAATTGCCCCGAGTGTGCCTTCACCTGGCAAAACGCCTTCCACCGCCACTTTTCTGCGTAGTGGCTTCCCAAATGCGTCAACCACAAGTCTGGTGGATCCCAGCTCCAACAGTAGCTCGCTCTATTCTTCAGCTAATGCTTCGACATCGACTCTGGTTCCTAACATATCCGAGAAGGACAAGGAGAAACGACATCATTTTCTGTCCCGACAGAAGCACAAAATACGAGATGAGCCGAATCAGCTGCCTCTGTCATCGGCGCATTCGAATTCTCAGGCAACTAACCCTGACAAACCCCAGCCCTTGTATTCCTTCACACCAGATTCCCCAAGCATAGGCCCGTTCGCCAAGTCCATGTCGGGGTTTGATCTCAGACATGGTGGTCGAGCGCTACGAGAAAAGAAGAAAGAGGAGAAGGCAGCTGCGGCTGCCGCCAAACTTGATCTCACTCCAATCGTCTCAAACACCTCAGCTACGGGAGCTGAATCGTTCCTGGGACCTCCAACCAGCTATGAAGGAAATTTTGCCGGACCACCTTCTGGTACCACAAGTGTCTTTTCGTTCCCCTCGGAAAGCACACAACCTGTCACTGCGCAGGCTTTTAGCAACATTGGTGCCCAGATGGGACTTCCGGGAATCGGGCCTGATGATGCGTGGCCGTTATTGAAGGCGCGGCTGCTGAATCTCTTCTCTGGCGAAAGTCTGAGAACGCCGATCGAAGACTTCAATGCTTTGGTCAGTGTGCACGTCCGTCGCTGCATTCAGCGAAGGTCACCAATAGTTCTCGTTGAGGATGTAAGGGAGCTGCTACAGACTGGGTTTAGCTCTCTTGCCCAAACACTACGAGGTGTCCCCGATGACAGACTTGTGACACACCTGGTCGAGATGTGGACTGGGGTATATGGTGCCATTCTGCCTTTCCTCCAGGCTGTCTTCCTTCCTCTCGAGCTCGAATTTAAAGGTCGAGGTAACCTTATGAGCGCGCGAGAAGCTCAAGAGTTCTGGGGCGTAATCCCCGAAGCACTCAAATCCGACGATCGACCCTCCTCAGCAGGCGGCACAAGCAAGCCACCAAATCTTCACGACGAGCTAGAGATTCGTCGCATAACCCTCATCACTTTCCGCGATCAAGTTATCCTCCCCAAGCACGAAAGCCTTATGAACATCTTCAGTCGGCTATCATTAGAGAACATCAATGCCGGCGGCATATCACCAGACATGAGCAGCTTTCCCAGCGGCAAAGGTGGTCGCGAGCATGCCCGCAGCGAACCTGCAACCACAGGCGCCGAACGTCCCGGCACAGCAGGAAGTCTCAGTCCTCGACTAGCCAGTTTCAATTCCCAAACCTCCACGCTTCTAGACGCAGCAAGCACATCAGGTTCCGGTGGCGCCTTATCTCTCGCATCCCGAAGTCGAGCCACGTCGAATACCTCCGCAGGCTCTTTTGGAACCAGCATGCCACATCTCAACTCCCCACTAGGCCCAGGATCCTTCTCCGCCACATCTCAACCGGCTCCTCCGCCTCAGCCTCCAGCGACCGTGTCAATGGATCCCGCGAAAGTCACCGAGACCGTCGCGAGAATGTTGCAATGTCTGTATGTTGTGGCCAGTTGTCAAACGGGCGATTTGCCGCAAGGGAATGTTGAACGCTTGGTTGGCGCTTTGAAGTACAATTGGCTTGGACGAGGCAGGACAGGGAGGGATAGACGGGGTTGGGTACCTAAGAGAGCGGCTGGAAGAGTTGGACTTGTTGGTGCGTGAGATTGAGAAGAAACTTGGGATAGATGTCCTTTCTGGATGAAGAAAACTTCTTTTTTGTTTGGTCTTTTGATGATTTATATGATGACTTGGACATGGAGGAAGGAAAAAAACTGGAGTGAGAGGATGGATTCATGTATTCATTGCCTTGCCTGATACCCGGAGCACCAATAGAAATGAAAGAAAAAAGGACTCTAATTCCACTCCAAAGATTTCTCTCTCAAGTCAGTCCAGAACATATTTATTATTGTCGAGCAATGTTCATTCACTACTACTTCTTCTCTTCATCATTCCGAGGCCTCCTCCTGTACTCCTCCTTCGTAATCGCAGCCACAATCTTCCTCTTTCTCTCAGGCGTCAAGAAACCCATCAACGGCGCTCTTCGCTGCTGCTGTTGTTGATGACCCGCACAATTGCAACCGGCGCAGTGATGTTGACTTTCAGCAACAGCGTGGTCAATGGAATGTCTCCTCATCGCCACCCTACCAGCTTGAGCTGCGTTCGTAGGTGGCGAGGTCATAGATTCCGGAGTGACTTTTGGAGATTGAGGGTGTGGAGTTGGAGGAGTTGGGAGATTGTGGGGAGGTGGGAATGCTGGGGCTGGGGCTGGGGCTCGAGTTGGGACCGGAGGTGGGTTTCGAGGATGGATGAAGCTGAAGGTTTGGTTCATGCGTGGTGTGCTGCTACCTTCCGTCTCCCATTGTGATGAGGCTTCCGAGGCAGCAGAAGCGCGGGAAGTTTGATCGCCAGCATTCGTTGTTGCCCAGGTCGAAGCATTTGAAGGAGCAGCAGAAGATCGAAGAGGATCCGGTCTGGCTGAGAGTCTGTAGGGAGATTCCATCAGGCTGCCATTGCTGCTCTGTGACTGCGTGTCGAAGTTGGCTTGCTCTACTCTTTGGTACAGACGAGTATGGCGACGGCTGTGACGGGCGTCGGCTGGAGGAAGACGAGTGGGCAGTTTGATGGCGTCAGGTGCTTGTTGTGTCAGAACCCTGGGTGCGTCGAGGGGATTGTATGCGGTGTATCGCTGGCTGCTGTGAGCATGCGTTGAAACTGGCTCAACGAGCAGCGCGGGTGCAGCAAAAGCGGGTGTCGATGCCTGTCTAGCGGTCTCGAGATTCTGCTGAACATGAGGTGCTGCAGCGTGCTTGCCCTTTGGAGCCTGTGACGGGTTAGAAGATGCAGGCGCGGTATGTGTAGTATCTCTGACTTTGTCCAAGTACTCCGGTATAGAGTCTTTGCGAGGAGGAGGAGGAGAAGTGTCTTTGCCCTCTAACGCCGCGGCTGCAGCATTGCGAGCGTCTGCTGTATCCTGCTCGACATCAGTGATGGATGTGTCGATCGAAAAAGCCGAAGCGAGTCTGTTCTGGTGGTTACGGCGATCGTGATCCGAGACATACTCATTTGCAGGTCTCTCGAATGGCCCTGAAGCCAATGGTGCTCGATACGGGAGGACGTTGAGCGTCGGTGGGCGGTCTGGGATCTGCGATTTTCTGAAGCTGGCTGTCAGACGTCTAGAGTTTCCACTACTAATGCCATCGACTTGATTGAGGTGCTGTGCTGTCAGTCGTCTGTCATTCCGAGATGCTACGCGAATTGGATTGACTTGACCAGGGAACTCGCCGGAGGCAACAGAGCTTGCAACAGCGCTCGGTGCGACAGACATAGTCCGGACAGATGTTACCGCTGTATAGGTCGGGGAGAGAACTGCGTTGACAGGCGGATGGGCAATTCGAGGGACTATGCGCTCTGGAGGTGGTGGCGTAGCAGAACGGCCTTGATGGATCATGAATGTTGTACGCTTGTTGCCGCGGGTAGTCGGATTCGTAACGCAGATGCTCGGAGTTACTGAGGCTCGGTTGCTGCTCTCTGGGTATGGCTCATCAGCGATTGGCGTCTGCGTAACACGCTTTTCTGTGGATTCCACGTTGTTAACGCTGAATGTGCGTTGCTTCTTGATTCCCATCATCTTCGTCAAAGCTTTCTTGGCTTTTTTTGCAAGACGATGTTGGAGGAATTTCTCAAAAGCTCGTCGAGATCTGCTTCGTGGTGTTCTGCTGAGAGCAGCTCTGGCTGGACGAGTCGCGGTGCTGAAAGCAGTATAAGTACTGAACGTGGTCCTAGCTGGACTCGATGGGCCTGTACTTGGTAGGCCTGTTGGGAAAGCCTGCCTAAGAATGGTGCTTCTGTGAAGCGATGGAAGTGGCTTGTTAGTCATGATTAGTGCGTAGTGTGTTGAAGACTGAAGTTGTGAATTGTGCGGTGTAGTGAATTGGTGCGATTGGAAGATCTTGGCCAGCAAGAGCTCGTGGTTGAAGCGACTCAATCGTTTTCACTAACTGCTGATCTGAGTATGCGACTCCTTGGCGGTGGGGTAGCCCGGAGATTATATCTCTCCTTAAAAGACGCTGTCGCAAGTGAACAAAGGCCCCAAATACAATCGCCGACAAAGAGTTCGTTGTGCTGCAATGCGAGGTGCTCTGTGTGACAGTCGTCACGACAAAGAATCCTAGTGTATTGTTCGAATGTCGGCCGGGCGAGCACGCTGTAATCAGGCTGTGGCTATGTTGCTGAGCGGAGCAATGAGCACTTGGTGATGGTCCTGATGAAGGTTCTAAAGTCGATTCCAGTGAGATGTATATCGGCACTGGACCTCACGGCCATTGTTCCAGCAAGAACAGTACTGGCAGCTGGCCATATGTATGTCTCACCCATCGCGTGGTCTCAAGAGGCATGCATACCATCCCGACCGGCTCCACACCTCGTTGCACTCTTGACCGAAGTCCACTAAAGCATTTCGTCACGACGTCTGCTTCCACCTCATCTTCCTGCCCAAAGTCCTATTCCCGCTCCGCGACTGCTCTCATTCACAGGTCTCTTCGCCACTCTTCCCTGGCTCTTGACGCCCTCTACGACCCTTTCTAGCCCCGTCTCGACCACGACCCCGCCCACAATCATCTCACCAAGCACTGCATGCAGCGTCTCAAAATTGAATATCAGATCCAACTCGCATACATTCTCGAAGAGCCGATCCAGTGCCTCTACAAAGACTTGGATCAGGTCAAGTAGTGCGAGAGGAGACTCAGTCGATGTAGAAATGACTATGAAGTAGAGTGTGGCATAGTGCCGGTAGGTCACGAGGGAGGGAGCATCGTTGGAGTTTGTGGAAGAAGTGGAGGCGAGAAGAGGAGGCAGAGGGAGGAAGTTGCAGGCGGAATCTGGGCGGGCGGAGACGAGGGTAAAGATCTCGGATATGAGGCGTTGTTGGACTGCTGTGTCCTGGGCAGTGATCAGCATGAGTATGTGCTAATGCTCGGCTTGTTTGTGAAATACCAGTTGTGTGTAGAATTTGGTCAATCGCGGCTGGCCATTGTTGTTGAAGACCAGCACCGCGTTGATCATCGTTGCGCGCGGATCAAGAGAGACAGTGTCTTTGTCGGTGTCGTAGATGTGTTCGCGATCTTTGGATGAGGTAGTAGGTAACTTAACGCGGGGCCAGGTCCGTTGCGGAATGCCAAGAGTCGGTCACAAAGTTGCTCAGCTACACGGACCCTTGCATGTCAAATTGGCTCCTCAATTATCAAAATGTCTTTCAATGATGGGACAGTCTCAATTCTTACATATTGACATAGGTTCTCGTCACACCCGTCCGCTAAGACCCGAATAATTGGCTGAGAATTTTTGCAGAGCCAATTGTACTATCAAAGTTGATGTAGAATTTGACTTACCCCGGATTTTAGCGTAGAACGTCAATCGACGGATTTTAGCGTAGAACGTTAATCGAAACAAATATTAAAGGGAAATTTGACTTGCCCCGGATTTTAGCGTAGGTATTAGCTAGTGTTAGCTAGTATTAGCTAGTATTAGCTAGTATTAGCTAGTATTAGCTAGTATTAGCTAGTATTAGCTAGTATTAGCTAGTATTAGCTAGTATTAGCTAGTATTAGCTAGTATTAGCTAGTGTTAGCTCGGACTATTAGCTAGTGCTAGCTAGTATTAAAATCTAAGTTGTTCGCTAATACTAAAATAATTAGTACCGTAGCTACTAATCTAGATACCGCGCCTACTGCCCGCAAAAATCTAAGTTATCCGCTAAGACCGAAATAATTAGCTAAGAATTTTAGTAGAAGTAATATTTAATTAAAGATTAAGGAGAAGTTTAACTTATCCCGGATTTTAGCGTAGAACGTAAATCGAAAGCGCTTAACGAACCCCGGATATAAGCGTAATACGCTAATAAAAATTTAGTAGGAGCTTAACGTATACTAGTAAAGACCTAGATATAGCTATATCCTACTAAATACGAAGCCTATCGACTAGTATAAAGGTCCCTATAGCGAAAATATTAGTAAGACTAGTACTAATAGTACTATTAATTTTAATAAAGCTATTAGTAGAGCTACTAGTAACTTTAGGCTATTAGACTATTAGTAGGGCTACTAGTAGGCAACTACTAGTAGGACTAGGTATTAAGAAAACTATTAACAAACCTATTAATTAAACTATTAGGTAAACTGTTAGATAGACTGTTCGATAAACTATTAGCTAGACTATTAGTAAACCTAATAATAGAACTAACAATAAAACTAATAATGAAACTAATAACTCAAATAGCACTAATAGTAAGACTATTAGTAAAACTACTAATAGGACTATTAATAAAACTGCTAATAAAACTGTTAACAAAACTACTAATAAAACTACTAGTAAAACTACTAAGACTACGGGCTAACCTACGAATAGGACTACTAATTAAAGTACTAAGACTACTAACTAAACTAGAAACAAAACTATTAACAAAACTACTAATAAAACTATTAATAAAACTACTAATAAAACTATTAAAGATGTTATAGTAGCTGCCTAGAAAGCACCGACAAGTCCTATAAGCTAGCCGCTATACTATAAAGTAATATCGGATTTGAGTTGCCTTAGTAGTAGGGGCCCCTAGCGAAGTAGGTCGCCTAGTTAGCCGCCTATTTAGCCGTATAACGTAATATCTTAGGGACTCCCGCGGAGGCCGTATATAGCAGAACAACACGTTATATATTAATATACAAACGACGGGACTATACTAAATTACGCGTACGCGTATATAGACGATAGCAAGCGAGATATATAGAGTCGTAGGACTAATCCGAATAGTAGGAAGGAACCGGAAGATAGGGAAGAGCTAGGAGAAATATGTTTACTTAAGAGCGGTTAAACGAGTTCGTATACGCGCGCCGCGTAAGTTAGCTAGGAGATAAAGGCACTACGAGATAGCGGATAAGCGGAATACGCGCGCGCGCGCTTAGCGCATAGGGAAGGACCTAAAAGTAGAGGTTTACTAAGAAGTTAGCAAGCAGGATATATATACTTACGCTTACGCGTCGGACGCGCTAGACGCCCGTAGGGCGGGATACTAAGGAAGGGGCTCTCCCTCTAAGGTACTCTTCTTCTTTTCTTCGTAGTTCGTCTTATATAAATAGTAGCTATATTAATTTAGTGCTCCCTCTAGTTTAGTTTAAAGTCTTGTATACATTCTTACTACTTAGCCTCTAACCCTTATAAAAGAAACTACTAATAAAATACTAATTAAAATTTTCGTTAAACTAAAACTAGCAATCGAACTACTAATTAAACTATTAATTAAATAGTTAACTAAGCTATTTTTGAAATTACTAATAAAACGACTAATAAAACTACTAGTTAAGCTACTAGTTAAACTACTAATTAAACTACTAACGAGATTTTAAATCAAAACGTTACTAGTAATTAAACTGCTAATCGAATTTAGTTCTACCTCCGATACTCCCCGAGATCGTACCGTATTCGCTATTAGCGCGGCTGCCTTCTCGCGTCTTACCCGCGATAAACGTACTTAGATCTTCGCTATAATAATATAAGATATCGAGAAGGCTATCCGAAAGTTCGACGAAGAACCGACGGACCCGAGAACGAAACTACCGAAGGAGTATTAGTACCGACTCTACTAGTTTTCGAAAAAGAACGCCGACATTCTACTACCGTACTAGTCTAGTATCGACTACAAAATCGAGCTAATCGACGGTAAGCCGCCGCCGTATAGTCCTCTCTACTCTATATCTCGAGATAAGCTCCTTATACTAAAGAAATACCTAGAAGATAACTTATAAAAGGGCTTTATCCGCCCTAGTTCCTCCGAAGCAGCCGTACTAGTAATATTTACCTAGAAACCCGGCGGAGGTCTCCGCTTCTACGTAGACTACCGGGGCCTTAACGCGTTAACAAAAAAGAACCGCTACCTAATTCCTCTTATAAACGAAACGCTCGAACGTCTTTCGAAAGCCCGCTAGTTTACTAAGCTCGACGTAATCGCTACCTTTAACGCGATCTATATTGCCGAGGGAGACGAATAGTTAATAGCCTTCTAAACCCGTTACGGCCTTTTCGAATACCTAGTCTTACCGTTCGGACTATATAACAGACCTAGTACGTTCTAATTATATATTAACGATACGCTTAAGGAATTCTTAGACGCCTTCGTCTCGGTATATATAGATAATATCTTAATTTATAGTAAAACGAAAGCCGAATACTACAAATATATCGAAAAAGTGCTTTAGAAACTCGAAGAGGCCGGACTATATATCGATATCGATAAATACGAATTCTATAAGTAAGAGGTAAAATTCCTCGGCCTTATTATCTCTTTAGAAGGTATTCGAATAGATCCCGGCAAAATCGAAGCCGTTCTAAACTAGGGAGTACTACGAAACGTAAAGGAAGTCTAAGGCTTCCTCGGTTTCGCTAACTTCTACCGGAGATTTATACGGAATTTTAGCGGAATCGCCCGTCTACTTATAGTACTTACGCGGAAAGACGTTAAATTTGAATAGTCTCTAGCCTATTAAGAAGCCTTCGACTAGTTACGGCAAAGTTTTACGACCGTACCGATCCTATAGTACTTCGACTTCGATAAAGAAACCCCTCTAGAAACCGATACTTCCGATAGTACGACTAGCGCCGTTCTCCTTTAGCGGACGACCCTAGAGGATACGTAGCTACCTATAGCCTACCTCTCTAAGAAAATGTCCTCCGTAGAATATAATTACGATATCTACGATAAGGAACTCCTCGTAATCGTTAAGGCCTTCGAAGAATAGTACCCGGAGCTCGAAAGTTCTAAATTACCGATCTAAGTTAGCTTAGACTATAAGAATCTTATCTACTTTCTTAAGAGCAAAATCCTTAGCTATAGATAAGTACGCTAGAGTAAGTTTCTTTCCCGGTTTAACTTCGTTATCTAGTATAAGCCTAGTAAAGCGAACTTATAGGCCGACGTACTTACGAGGCGTAATAGAGATTCGCCTTTAGATCGAGGTCCGTAGCGCGAAGAATAGTCTATCCTAAAAGAGTATAATCTAAGCTAGGAACTATACGAACTCCTCGGAGACGACTTTACTAGCCCGGAGCCTCTCGTAGTATCCTTCGTACTAATAGCCGCTCCCGCCTTCCTCGAAGATAATAATAGCTCGGACGACGAAGATATAAGTTCGGAAAACTCGGATAGCGACTAGGAAAGCGAAGAAGAAGTATAGAACCTCCTCGAACCTATTTAGCTCGAGTAGTAGCTTACGATAGCGTACGCCGAAGACGCTTTTACTAAAGGCCTAATTTACGCTTTATAGAACGGAGAATAGTTATATAAAAATGTTTCTCTTTTAGAGTACGAGCTCTATAGAACTCTATCCCGAGCGCCCTATATAACGTTTAGGAATGCTCTCTACGTCCTAGACTTCGAAGATTTGCGCGATTAGATTACACGTTCCGCCTACAACCCTCTCGGAATAGTATATCCTAGTCGAGCTAAGATATTATCTTAGCTCCGGAAGTAGTACTACTAGCCTAATCTATACCGAGATATCGACCGATTCGTTAAAAGCTACGTAGTATACTATAGAGCAAAAGTAGATACGCGTAAGCCGCAAGGGCTACTAAAACCTCCCAAAATCCCTCTATAGCCCTAGCAACACATTTTAATAGATTTTATTATAGGCCTACCGAAAGGATCCGACTTTAACGGCCTTTAGTTTTAAAATATACTAGTCGTAGTCTGCCGCCTAACTAAACGTAAGAAGGTATTAAATGCCTGTAGCCTAACCGCGAAGAATACGGCTTAGGTCTTCTACCGAGAAGTATAGAAAGATATAGGCCTACCTAAATTAATTGTATCTAATCGCGGTCCGAATTTCGTCGCCCGTTTCTAGAAGCGCCTGTACGAACGACTAAAAATTTAAGCGCGCCTTTTAACGGCTTACTATCCGCAGACCGACGGACAAACCGAGCGGGCTAACGCTTAGATCGAGCAAATTATTAGGTACTTCTACAATTACTACTAAAATAACTAGCTAAAATCAACGCCTTCTATTAAAATTGCT